ATAACTTAGGCCATTCAAGAAAGGAGACTAAAGAGGTTTGGACACGTTCACCGTCGTCCGTTCCACGAGCTTAGCTATGCTGCCCCCGACCCAACGCTGCAGCCCATGTGGAAACATCGAAGAGGAGGGCAAGTGAAGACTTGGCTCGACACCGTCCGTCAAGACATGGAACCATTTTTTGGACCTTCTAAAGTCGGTCTCCGTCGCTGGAGAAGAGACTGAGTGGAGATCTCCAGATCAACTGCCGCCAATCCTCACAAATGGAGAGGTACCGTCCGCAACATCATTGAGCCCCGCTAGATCAGGCAAGATCACAGCGGTAACAAGAACCAGTAAGTGCAAGTGCAAGCAGATCAGACCTCATACAGACTTTTCGAGTTGTGAGAAACCGGGACTGTGCCTTGCACTTACCTGCGCGTGAATGCCATCAAACTCTGAAGAAGATTATCTAACTGGCATGGACCGCATTCTTATCATAATTTTTCTGAGACTCCTTAACGGCATTTACGTACTGTATTTAGTTCCTGACAGACCATGATTTTATTATCATTCCTCGCCTTGGTATATTTTGGAACTGAAGAAATGGTCAGGCCTTTTTTTCTCTATTTCGCTATAGGTGGCATTAAACTAAAGTACTTTATAAACGTTCAGGCTTAACAGTCCGTCAAATGTTTTGAGCTGCGTACGCCTACAGTTCCTGATGAAAAACCAAAACCTGGAGAATATTCCAGATATCCAAACTTCCGCTATAGACTTAGAACTAATGTGGAAGCCTTCGGCCTTTTAATTTATATGAAGAACATCTGAATAACATGTTTATTAAGTCAGAAGCTATCATATTTAATTTTAATTATGCAGATATAAGGATTTGTTCTTTGTTTGTGTCTGTTGTATCAAAATACCTTGAGAACACTTCAGAAACTCCTCTAAGTTTATTTCCTAAGCGGTGTTCCGGTGCCAAACCTAGGTAAGCTATCTTCACCGGGCCGAAGTCGTGATTTGGACCATGAATGGTGCAGGCTTGGTATACCTTTCCAATCTTGTCCGTCTGATCCGCCCGTCAGAATATTCCGTTCTAACTTAAACACGGCAAAAATTCAAACTTAGTTTATAAGGTAAACAGAGCGCGAACAATTGGTAAGATAATATGTGCAGGTGCCCTCTTCTAAATACAAACCCATAAATAGCTAAGCAGAATTTAAACCATAGCTTGCGTAGAATTTTATAAACTTCCGCAATATATTTTTCTATTTTAGGCTTTTAAGAGCTATTTACTATTTCTTAAACTTACTTATTAACAAATTAGTTGTTAGCTACCATTTTTTACAGCTTAAAATAGAACCGTTGCATTGAAATTTGAAATACTGTTTTATATTTTCTCTATCTGTCAGCCTTAAATTCGAATGTATGAAATAAAACACAATTAATTGAGATATCCGGATATATATATCCACTATAGACGTGCATATTTATTTATAGAAAAATTCTTGTCTTACATGCCACATTGCCGTATTTGATGAAACAATATGGGCACATTGTTGCTGGTTAGTATTAAAATTTTGAATGATTTTATTTCCTTTGTACCACACCGTATACAGCCTCAAAATGTTCGAGACTTATTTCTTACTCTATGCATATATATGCATAATTGCATAAATTAGCCTCAGTGCCTGTCCATGAACGTTTCCTTAAAGTGAATATATCAGAATTTATTCTGCGTCTGCGCGCCTTTCAGTATAATTATAATGAAATATATCGATATTGATAGGACCTATCAAAAAACCTAAGCGTTTATTAATAAACGCTTAGGTTTTTGATAGGATGCATTTGTAACTATTTCTACTTCATTGTGGTAATTAGTCTATTTTATAGATTAGTTTAACAAAAATCGCTGCCGAAGTAAATTTCGTCGAAAATTATTTTCAATTTGGGTAAAGTCACCCTTTAATAACGTTAAAAAACTTACAGGAAAACTCAGTACCGAAGAGATTTCACGGGAAATGCTCAAGGAGATGACTCTTCGAGCTTTTTCCGTGAATTCTTGTGCAATTTAACATATGAACTGCCTGAAAAGTTGCTCATTTGTCATATGCGTCAAAATATCGGTATTCATGATGAAATTTTAATCCACAGTAGCAAGGGAGGGCATTATAAAACATACTTTTAAAAAGTAAGAGTTTCTGCCAGGAGCTATGAGGTTTATCACATTCCTGTCAAATTAATCAGCGGGTGTTTTTGGAGATAGGGAATCGACTTATTCTGATAGACTAAACTGGCTGTTCACACAGGATGTACTAAGCTTCTAATCCACCATTACGAGATGATTACCAAACTCACTTATCTGAGTAATGCCTTAAAGGAGTTAAATAATTCCGTGGACGTAATTATGAGAAACTGGGTGCCAGAGCTATGAGGTCATCTATTAGCCATGGAGGTTTTTGCGAAAGATCAGTTATTTTAACAAATTTATCAAATTCGGAACAAAATTAATTTCGGTCTGAAGTGTGGCAATTTTCGAATGCTGTCCACTTTTTATTCAGTTTATTGTGGCATTCATAGTTTGCCTTCATTACAACTGCTTACGCATGTCTGCATGTAAACTACTTATCTTTTTCTCGAAGATAAAATCATACAGTAGTTTTGTTATTCGAAAGTGATAGCCAGAGCGCCACGTGTACCTCAGTTTCATGTGTGTACGACTTAACGGTCGCACCTTTGACAATTTAAGAAGTATTTCGGTGACACAATATTGCCAGACCATTGTATTTGTTCAAGCTTAATAAAGCTTTTCATTGTCTGTCTGGTTGAATAGCTGTAGCGGTAGTAGAGACTCTTTTATTCGGAATAAAATAGGGGAAATGCTAGTCTGAGAAATTTTTTAATTTAATCTCAGCAAGTAAAAGTTTTTTCTGACTCAAGCAAAAATGAAAGTTCCAAGAAGTAGAGGTGATCGCCGGTACAAAAACTTTTTTCGCTTGACGTTCCGCATTTCAGTTAGCACTCATTTTCAGAGATAGCGTCAAGCAAAGGTAATTTGACAGTTCCACGCGTCCTCTTAGCCAACGACGGAGACCGACTAACGAAAATCTAAGGACGATTGTCATTTTTAATCAAGTGTGCCGTGCCAGGTTTAAATTTGACTCCTAGTTAGGAGAAATAGTGTATTTTATGCAGAACGAGTTTAGATTAGGTCGAAAGAAAGTGACAGTCCGACGAGGCCACCACCGAAACTGCGGGGACGGCGTCCAAAGAGTGAGCAAACGGGAGTCGTCAAAGCGCCTCCAGCGGGGTCATATGTGAATCAGCCTTAAAGGTAATCGGCAGCCACCGGTGCTCACGTGAGCACTGTAATCGGGATTGAGCCATTAAAGGCTCAGTCTCAGAGGGAAAGGGGAATTATAAATCAGTAACAGAATGCCTGGCTTCACTTTACAGTACCAAACAGTCTGGGTCTCTTATTTCATAAGTATTAGTTTCCTTATGGTGTATTTTTGATAAAGTTACTCCATTGTGCTGCATCGTATTTTTTACAGTTAACGCTCTTCTTTTCCTTAAAACCAGGATACCATTCAATTATGACAGACCAGGCGATGGACAAGGAGGGCGATGGAAAGGAGAATTTGCCGAGTTCAGATGATCAAAGCGAAAAGGTCAGCGTGCGAACTCTGAGTGAAAGCAAATTAGGCAGTGGTGCTTTGTGGCCAAACAGGCATGCCCAGGAAGATGGCATGCAGGAGGGCACGCTTTCTTCCCTCAGCTGTAACCAATCAATGGACTTGAGCAGCCGTGCCCTAGACAGTCCCTCCCCTACGGCGTACCTGAAAGGAACCGAATCCTTGAAAGACCTCAAAAATATAAAACTGTACTGTGACGGTAGAGGTGATCAACCTAGCACTTTAAAAACGCTGCTTTCCGAGGCTCGGGAGAAGCCCGATTTTGACTCGACGGATACACTGAAGAAGCGTTATGACGGAGAGGACTACAGTCGACCCGGGGTCTTAACTTCTAAACTGCAAGAGAGCCAGCCCCACGAAGAGCCCAAGGACCCGGATTCGGTCTCTAAGGGTACAGTAGAGAACAACAACCGACTGATAGAACTTGCAAAATGTAATTTTATTCCCTTTCTTGTTAAGCAACCCTTCGCCTTTAGCCTACCAGAACCGCAACGGCGAAGAGCATGAAAAGATTATGCGTTCGGCTCTGCAGCAGATAAATGGCCTTTTCCAGAATAACTCATTCTGCTCCTTGGACTCCGTCCTTACAGAGGCAGCTGCTGAGGTCCAGTCTCGGTTAAAGGTTGGTTTATAAAATTAGATTGACACAAAGTGTTTTTTGAGAGGGACTTTAAACATCGACAACCGTTGTATTTGAGTTTAGAAAACGCTCTGTTTTAGGGGATATGAAAGTTAACCCAGGGAAAATAAGTTTTTCAATCTTGCTCGGTTTCTGCTTCCAGTTTTCGATGCCTTAGCCAGGTTAGACTGACGCGGAAGTAGCTCAGTTTAATCGCTCTAGCTCGCCACGTATCGAACAATGACTATCATTAGCACATAGTAATGACCTGCGTGCGTGATTGAGATACTATCAAAGAAGCGCCGCAGACTATAACCGGCGCATTTGCTTCTTATTGTCATCATGAACAAAAATGAGTTAAGGGACTGGCAGTAAGGTTTAAGTCAGGGGCGGTTTATTGTTTGGCGCGGTAACTCGCTGATGAACGTTCACTGATCGTTAACGAAGCTCATTCGACGCTCTCTGCCTTGGGGCTCATTCTAAGGCCCTGACAACAGCCCTAACGGCTAGTAGTCTAGGTAGATAGTAGTGCCGGCAAAGACAAGGGAGACTGGAATGGTCAATTCTGGCTTATTAGTCATCTACAGTCAGTCAGTGGGTAGAGCGTTAGGCCTCGAGGGGTGCACCACTTGGAGTTGGGTATGACTAGCTGACGACAGATAATAAGCCAGAAGCAGCCACTCCAATCACCTTCATATTTTCCGGCAATACTATCTGCCTAGACTGCTTGCCACTACGGCTGCTGCTAAAGCCCGAGAAATGAAGTCCAAGGCAGAGTGGGAAAAGTGAGCTCCGTTTGCAGTCGGTAAACGTTAAACAACGGGTGTCAGTATCTTCCGACGTAAAACTTCACGACAATGCACCCAAGGCTCAATGGTTAGAGTGGTAGACTCTGATCGTAAGGGTCGCGAGTTCGAGCCTCGGAAGGTGCAAGACTCGAGGCTGGGTATGACTGGGTGACGACGGCTAAAAAAAACTAAAAATGGCCATTCAAGTCTCCTTTGTCCTCACCGGCAACACTATCAGACGAAGCAACGTTGTACAGTCTGGGGTCCATACAAGCCCACTAGGACTACGAGTATCCACGGAGACAGTTGATGATTTGTTTTTTAGTGCGCTTATAGGGAAGGAGACTTGAACAATCATTAACTCACCCTTTCTGCTGCTGATAAATCTGTTGTAATAAAAATGTTTCGTAAAACCCTTAGAGTTGGCCGTGGGGTTATCGTACAGCCTGGGCATGCTTCTGTCACCGCAGATGTTTCTCTACTGAACACATTTCTGAAATCCACAATCCTAATCGAATATGGTCCCCTCTAGGGGCGATCTGGACGTTATTGAGGAGCCTCCATAGGACATAGATCGTTTTTTGAAGATAATTTTGTTGACCACGTATTCCTTCTGAATATGGACACTCAAATTAACAGAATTTACACACATCGCAGAACATCCTGGGCGCTCGATATTAGCTCATCTCTTTGAAGTGAGAAGTCAAAATTCAGTCAGTAGATGTCTCGGTATCATCAACAGCCCAACTGACGGGTGGACAGAATATGACTCAGAAACGTTCCAACCACAACAAGTGTCACGTGCTTACTTAATAAACATATGAATGGCGTTTATTTAAATGTTTTTGGAAATTAACTGCTAACTTGAAGGAGACCAGTCTACTTGCAACTGTATATGCGCAGATTGAGAATGAATGTGAATATGTTTATCGGATTCTATCAGTTTAATATTTCCTAAATTGCCACCAGACAGTTAATATTATATAGTAGAGTTGAGAAATACATTATACTGACACCATGAGTACTAACTGAAAGCCCAGATGAGTGTTTCGCGGATTTTTTGCTGTTGTTTGAATCAGTTGTGAGGGGTCCGGTTTATCGGTGGGTTCCTCCAGCGTTCCCAGTGTGCTTTCTGGTAGATACTCCAACTTATAAAGTGTTGCTGTTTAATGATTGTGACGCTCTGATCAAAATATTAATATCAACCTTCAGTCTAGCCTCTATAAACCTTCAAATAGACTGATTTTCTCCAAGTAATCTAGTAATTTTTGAGAAAACTAGAAGAAAACAGTTTCTCCATTGAAGTATCCGCCCGATACCACACAGGAAACGTCGTGAATCTACTGGTGAGTTTGACCTCTGGCAGCAATACGAAAGGGCTAGTGCTTGGGGTATTAGTAGGGTGTCACATAAAACTCCTCAATAAATATACAAATGGAAGCAAGAAGCAGAAGATAAAATTGTTATAAAAAGCTAGCACATAACAACGAGAAAACGTGCGATAGGTCAAAAGAGATAAAAATGAAAAAAAATTAATGCATTAGTAAAATAATAAAATAAAAATAAGTTACCTTAACCACCAAATGATGAATTATGGGGGTATGGTTTCCATGGTGAACATCATAACAGACTGCTACCTATGAGTATTGATATATCCAAATATATCGCCTTAAATCTCTCAAATGACATTCAAACCCCTATACTTTCCGAAGAATGCCTAAGGAGTTTTTCACTGTCAGCCCTCCCTTAGCCAATTTAAATTACTGGTAAAGCCACTGTTCTGAAATGTTCTGCTGACCAAATGCATTGAAAAACTGTCCTGTACCAATAGGGAGTTCAAAGGTATTTACTTATATTTCCCTCAATAAGACCTGACCTGACCTGACCTGACTGCCAAGCCCAACGTTGGTTGACACGCCAACGTAAATTTACCCTTTCTACGCCTTTGTTGGAGAGGTTGGAGAAGAAATTCATTACTGAAGGGTTGTATATTTCTTGAAATTATATCCTTTAGTGTAATCTAATGTTGGTAAATGGATGTTTTTTGACAAATGGGGACGCTACTGGTGCAAGACATTAAGCTTGCGAACAGTCCTTGATACCATAGAAGTTTGCTACAAAACTTCTGGACGTTTTATGATGCCCTTTGGCACTGGGGCCATCATACCGGACAGCTCAAAAAGTTTCCTTTCTTTTTCGCCTTCAGAATGAATATCAACGCCTGCGAGGAGAGATGCAGGGATCGATCTCACGAATAGTGGCTTTTGAATTGCAAAAGTAGGTTTTTCTGCACTCCTTGCGCTGATCACTCAATTTAGAGCCAGTTGTTCCCTGGAGACGATGATCTATCAACTGGAAAGCATGCGGGATCTTGCTCGAGATTACGAAAAAAAGTTGGCCAAGAAAGACAGGACCATCAGTGAGTTGTCCTCGGAGATATCCGAGGCTAGAGTGACTTTCGATCAACAGCGAATCAACGACAACAAGGCGCGCAAGGTAGGGTCAGGCAACTGCAATTCTCTCCTTCTTTTAAGATGTGTATGCTTTTCTGTTAAAACTAGTCTGTCAGTCCCACTGCAAGGCCTTGTTGGCGAGTGCTTATCCGATATTTCTCGATGCTATTTAGTCACTGGTGATTTTATACAATTTCAGAAATTTTAGCTTTTTCATTTGCTAGATATAACCTAGGTAATTATTAACCATCCCGACGACACGGGCACTAGCTAAAATACAAGGGAGACTGGAATGACCATTTCTGGTTCATGAATCGCTGCCAGCCAGTCATACCCAACACCAATTGCTGCAGCAACCGTGCCTCAAACTCACGACCTTTCGATCAGAATTCCAACGCTCTGAGACTTCGGTGTTGCACCACTTGTGGTTGGGTATGACTGGATGATGACTGTTAACGAACCCGAAGTGGCTATTCCAGTCTCCCTTGGCTTTGCGGGCAATGCTATCTGCCTAAACTATTATCCACTGTGCGGCTGCTGACAGGGCTCGAGAATGACCCCCCAAGGCAGAGCATGACGAGTGAGTTTCGTTCGCGGTCGGTGAACGTTCATCAACGAGTGTCACTAGCTAAGAGCCCAGCCACGTGCTTCGCCGACATTCTGCCACTGCATGACACAGATGCGAGGGGTTCTGCTCATCAATGAGCCCCCCTCCAGCATCCTCTATATGCTTTCTGGTAGATGCTCAAGTTTTCAAATTTTCTCAGGAATACATTTTGAACTTGGATTAGATCAGTACATTCAAGGATCTACAGGCGACGACTGACATGTTAAGTAAATATTTGGGCTGATTTCTAGTAGCCATTGCGAGATAACCGTGCAATATTCAAAACCGGCTAATAGACATTCAGTCTTCTGAGTAAATGTGTTCGCTGGGACCAAAAGTTTATTCGCCTGACGTTTCGAAATCCGTCGCTGATCCCTTATCAGAGGCACTAGGCGAGACGATCAGAGAATGATCAGTATTCTGCCATGCAACAGCAATATATGGGCAAAGCACGTATCTGGGCCTCTGGCTAGTAGCTCTGCTGTCAGTATGGTGAATAATTACACAAGTTTAGCTATATCAGAATCCTGTATACATTTTAACAGATTACATATCGAATGAACGTTCGCGTTCATGGTAGTTGCATGGATAATGAAGAAGGATCGTCGAGCTTCAAAAATCTGTTGGCTCAGAACAATAAACATTTTGTTTCGGTGGTCGATAATCCTTCTTTCAATTTAAAGCATTTTTTCCCGGTATTAATTTAAAGCTGAAAAGCACTCTCGAAATTTATTCGCGCGAATAAATTCTGCTATTTTATTTTGCTTCAAATCCTTCTTTCTTATCCAAGATTGAATTGCTGCAGGACGATTCACCTGCGCTTAGGAAGAATATTATTTTTCCGAACTGGTTCTGGGGGAGAAAAATATTCCAATGGCTTATGGGTCGAATGATATTTAGATAAGATGTAGAAAGCGCTCCGAGCCTGTCATAAAACACATCCAGCGCAGGGATGTTTCGTAAAAAGACAACAGTTGATATATGCGAGAAGGAAATTGCCCGGTGGAATGTAAGATTAAACGGACTCAATTTTAGGCCCGACAGTGATCAGAACCAACTAGGTGTTCTGACTTGCATTGAAAGAGCTGAACAGTCGATTGGAAAGCTCTATTGTGCTGCCCGCTACCCTCACTACATACTAAAATGCTCTCGTTGTAGAAATTTTGTACACAATTGGCACTCAACCACGCCAAGCGAAGGCTCATGCTGCGTGCTTGGACGTTTTGGAAAAGGGCAATTGAGAGTTCCTGGAAGGACCGAGTTTATCGACGTCTGGTAGATCAGGCCAACGAAGTCTGCGTTAACCTGAGGCGAGAACATGCGCACATTGTGGCTGAGGTGAGTCAGACAATGCATTTTTGTTTGTTTGTGTACGTCACGGCCTAGGCGACCGCAACCGCAACCGCGCTCGCAACGAATAACCTTTCATACACACACTACGGATTTCGGCGTATTTCTAAAGATTACTTCAGGACTCTGGCTCCTCATTCAAATCTTGAAAATTGCTGCTTTTAAAGAAAATAAACGAGCTTAAGGTGATCAATCTGTCGATATAAGCGAGTATGCGAGTCCCAGGAAATAATTAAGAAGAGCACTTTTTATTCACCTGACGTTTCGAAATTCGTCGTGAGCCTTCATCTGAGACAGAGCTAATGGCAGAAACGGATAACGAATGCACAGGGGGATACAGTATGTATAGGATGCATTCACTATGCCACTACCCACTTAAGCCATTTAAATGCTCCCCTATAGGAGATAGTTGCCCGCTCGCGCGCTAATTGCTTGTTGGTTGGCGGGCGGGCCGTGACCTGCTGAAATTTCATCACATGTGGTGGAAGTCGGTGTTCTGATTACCCAATTATTGAACTCCCTGGCCCCGGCGTTAGACGACTCGTTAGCCTGTGCACTCCCCAAGTGGCGGGGAGCCAGATGACAGAGCCATCATCACGCGCAAATCCAGCATGATGGTGAGGAAAGTTCAGCCGTGCCGGCCGGCCCGCCAACCATCAAGTAATTAGCGCGTGAACAGGCTACGATCCTCCATAGGGGAGCGGTTAATTACCCCAAGTGGCCGATATTGTCACCAGAGTTGACAATCGGGTGAGTCGCGAGTTACTTGAGTCATGGTT